TGATGGTGGTGATGGTGATAGGGTGATGGTGGTGATGGTGATAGGGTGATGGTGGTGATGGTGGTGATGGTGATAGGGTGATGGTGGTGATGGTGATAGGATGATGGTGGTGAGGTGATATGGTGATGGTGGTGATGATAGTGATGGTGATAGGGTGATGGTGGTGATGATGGTGGTGGTGATATGAGGATAATGGTGAGGATAATGACTGTAATGATATGAGGTGATGGTGGTGGTGTGGTGATATGAGGGTAATGGTGGTGATAATGATATGAGGTGATGCGGTGAGGATGGCAATGGTGATAGGAAGGTGACGTGAGGACTGATTGTGTTAGTGATGGTGAGGATGGTGATGGTGGTAAGTGGTGTTAGCTAAGCCACGTAYCTTCGTATGTAGGTGGTACTAAAGGCACTGAGGAGCAAAGCTGCTGTGGGTGATTTGCCTCTTCTGTGACAGAGCAGTCTTGTAGTGAGGCCCGCCGTGTGTCAGCGATCATCCTCTAATGCACATGACGCTTTGTTTGGGGGACRCCAGGAGAATGTGTGAGTCGCTAGGTCAGACCTGCGGTTGTGCATGCAGAGCTACTGCAGGTTGGTCCCCGACTCCAGGCCTCCCACGTCCGACGTCCTGACACTTCGTGTAATGCCCTGCTGGAGCCCACGTGGAGCCCTGAGAGTGACTTAAATTGTCATTGTAAGCTCGCCAGATCTTGGAATCTTGGTGTGCCATGGAGGGAACCAAGCTTTGGAGCTTGGGGTACCTGACTGTGCTCTGTGTCGCTTCTTCCATCCGTGGGGGCTGGGCTTTAAAAGAGTGTGTCCCCACTTCACTTCCCCCTCAAGTGACTGAAGGGGGTGCCTTCCTTTTGACTCTCTGCTCTCCTCTGCACCTTAGAGTGGTCCTTTTAAAATCGTGAGTCGACGGTGCCCACTGCTCGCAGCAGCACGTGTGGGCTTCCCATCGCTCTGAGCAGGAGAGGCTTCTGGGGTCTCAGGCCTGTAGCACCTCTGTCCCTGCCCACCTCTTCCCCTGCTTGTTGTCCCAGACACTCTGACCTCCTTTCCCTTCCCCCGCCCAGCATGCCTAACCGTGTCCACCCCAAGGCCAGAGTGTTTCCCAGTACCCCCTGGGCTCCGGCCTCACCTCCTTTGGGTCACTGCTTGAACTCATTCTCAGCAAGCCTTCTCCAATCATCCTTTGAGAACACCACCATCCATCCCAGCTCCCATCCTTCCTACCTGCGTCCGATCTGTTACCACCAGACAGTCTAAGTGTGTGTGTTTTAATCGTTCATTTCCACCTCTGGTGATAGAGCTGAAACTCACATGAATGCAAGGCCCTTGTTTACCGATCCTTCTCTGTACCTCGAGAGGGCGCTGGGCACAGAAGCAGTGCACTGTTTGTGAAAGGGAAGTGGAGGGAGGTGGGGAAGGAGGGCCCCTCACCTCCTAACCCCTTTCCATTGCTCTGTGGAGACCTGGGGTGGGTCCCTGCACTGGAGCTGAGTTCTAGGGGGCATCTGGGCACGCAGGGAACAGAGGTAGACCCTGGCCCCCACAGGGAAGGAGGAAGGGAGGGGAGCGCTGGGCCGGGTGGACGTGCTGCAGAGTCAGCAGCTGGCTCTGTCTGCTGGGGATGTGTGTGTTGAGCGCATCCGAGCACTGACCTGATGGCTGCTTCCCCCAGCTGGGTCTCCAGCCCTCCACAGCGGCCCACCCACACGGACTTGCAGGGGGACTAGAAAGATCTTTTCAGGCACACAGTGCACCCCGACGTTCTTGGAACATTCCCAGATTTCTGGGCTCACAGAGAGGAGCAGCAGTGGGGTCCCCTGGCTAAGTCAGTGGGGAAATGCGAGAAGKGCCCGCCCCCCTGGGCTGTTGGCACCAGGTCAGGGTGGCAGRGATTCCACCGTGGAGTCTCAGGTGGACTCCTGGGCTCTGCAAGTTGCAGTGGTTCTAGAGACCAGGAGCTCACGCTCTGGTGACCAGAGCGCTGGCAGGGCGCCACTTTCTGCCAGCCCTCCCCAGCAGTGCGTTTCCTTCAGCACCCCTGAACCTCTCACGCCCACGCAGTCCCGGCCTGTCCTGCTGAGTGCCTTTGGGGAGCAGCATGCTCCTGGGGTACCTCTGTGTGAAGCTGTTGGTGTTGTTTTTCTTCTTATTCCTTCACATTTTATTGATTTCTATTCAAAAATACATTCTTGACACGTTTTGCTCAGAATTACTCAGGTTTTCTTTCTCCCAAAAGATGTAATTTGGGTTTATCCTTAAAAAAAAAACACAGCAAACAATTGGGTTTACCTCTGTTAATGATTAAAAATAAATATGAAGGATATTTTTAACCTTTTTAGAAAATGCGAAGTTTTATATTTTTATATCTTAAAGGTTTATAGTGCAAAGACCTCTGTCAGGTTCTGTGTAAACATCTGGGGGTCGTTGGGCTGAACCTGAGAGGAGCCGGCAGGACCAGCTGGGGGCTGCCTCACCGGCACACTGCACCCACGCCCGGGGCGGCCTCTACCCTGCCCCCTGGGGCTGCCTGCCYGTCCCCCTAGCAGTGGTGCGGCCTGGCGGCCTGCGTGGCCTGCTCCACAGGTGTGTGGTCCTCCTGGGACGGCACCACTGCCTGCCCAACAGGCCCTCCCTGTGACAGCTGGACCCACCTACAGTGGCTTCTCTGTCCTCCAGATGTGCTCCTTCGGAGTCTCCTGAAGGACCTGTGGCAGCGCCAAGCTCAAGTGAAGCCCGTGGGCCCCCTGGAACTGGAGGAGATGGTGGGCACAATTGCAGGCCCCAGGCCAGGTGAGTGCCCAGAGGGAGACCAGCTGAGGGGCAGGCAGAGGGCCTGAAGCAGCCATCCAAGGTGACCTCCTCTCCCCAGGCCCTCGGCATTCGGGTGGACTCAGGGCAGGGATGTGGTCCTATGTGGCACTAGGCCTGCCGTTCAGCAGGCTGAAATGCTTTCTTCCTGCGGGGAGGAGGAGTTCCTATGAATGGTCTTATCTGTCTGAGGTTTTGCTCTAAAACCTTCTTTCCAGCTGAGCCTCTGGAGCAGTTACGCTGAGTGGCAGGTGGCTCTGCCATGAGGTGAGCTCCTCGGTGCTGAGCCTTAGCAGTAGGAAGCCCGGGGTGAGGCCACGTCTTTGTTTGGATCCTGGGAATAGGTGTTGCCAAACATTTGAACAGTGGAGCCAGGGGGCTTCATCTGACTGCCTGTGCCCACCCTCTGCAGCTGCCGGGGGCCATGGATATCACCTCCCTGCTGCCTTACTGATTAGGCAGCCACTGGCAGACAGGTGTTCTGTGACCAGCCCTGCCCCACGGATTGCTCCCAGAGTTCTTGGAGCCCTAGCAAATTGCCAACTCGATGCCTGGTAGGTGGTGGGTGTCTAAGAACAGGAGCTGAAAGCCAGGTCAGGGAACAGGCCTTCTCCTCTGGGTCGGGACGCAGGCTCACTGGGTTCTGCGGTAGGAAACACAGAAAGGGAAAGTGGCCTCGCCACAGTGAGGTACGCGCTGGGCCACCACCAGTGCACATCTGCCCACAGAAGGCCTGCCCAGCAGGCTTCAGGGAGGAGGGGACCTGGAGCCTATATGTGGCTTGGGTGCAGCACATCGGGGGTAGGTCGTGTGTAGGGCGTTTACCTGGAGAGAATTGTTGCCCAAGCCGGATGACCTGAGTCAGTGGACGTGCAGCCATCCTGGCTGGACACTGCTCTTTGTGGCTTGGAAGAGTTGGCTGTGCAGGCTCAGTGGGCTCTGCTGAGGGTACAGGGTGCTGAAGCCCAGGGCCAGGAGCTGGCAGGCCAGCTGGTGCTGACTTCTTGCCTCTGGTGGAGCTGGAGAGACATCTGCTTTATGGATGTTTCTCGGACACTGTGTCATGCTAGGAGTGGGGCCAGCACAGGAAGTATGCCTTCTGTTCAGAGGGGCTCCAGGACGTCTTTTCACACACTGTGACACCTTTGCTCATGTCTTGTGGGATGTGGCTAATGCTCCTGTCTCCTACAGGTGACGAAGCTCTCGCGGACAAGAAGGATGGGCGTTTCCATGAGGTAACATGGATGCTGCATGCACAGTGGCTTATGTAAAACCCAGGGGTGGACCGAGATCTTTCTGTTCAAGGCTTCCAACATTTATGCCTGGTGTTTTTCCCCCTGGAAAGTACAGGAGAAATCCTCATAATGTCAAAATYGAGAAAAGCGTAAAAAGTGCATACAGCATTGTGTATGCTAGGATACATAAAGATACTGTTTTCAGATTCTAAGCTAATATGCTTCCATCATAGAAAATTAAAAAGRCACAAGAGATGAACAACATTGATATTCTCAGGATTTCCCTGCCTGGGGATGCCAAGACCAAACRAGGACAGCACAGGTCTGTTCCCCAGACCACAGGGTCGTGCCTGCAGTGCCTGGCTGGACAGAGCTGGTGGCCTGGCTGCATGCTGACCTGGCGGCTGCTGGCAGCAGTTGACTTGGACTAGATTTCAGGTGGTGGAGATTCCATAAGCAGTTGCTCAGCTGMGGTGCCTTGTGGAGGCCCAGGCTCGGTGGTGCAGGTGTGGGCCTGCTGTCCTTCAGAAGGGTCCGCTGGGCAGCGCTTCTCCCTCCAGTGCATGCACAGGTTTTGTGAGGTCTCTTCTCTCTGGTCACCTCCACGGTCCTATGGGCTTTGTTAGTTTTTGGTTACCCTCGCCCAGGAGCCTGGCTTCTCCGTGCACAGCACACAGATGCAGAAGCCGACTCAGCAGGGCCAGTGTCATCTTGTGGTTCCTTGAAGCTGTTGTTGGAGGGGAGAGACAACTCGGGCGAGCAGTTCTCTTGTTAGATCACCGTCATGGCTTAGCAAGGAAGGAAACATGGATTTTAAATCCTGACAGTGGTGGGCACTCTGTCTGAGTGGCAAAGGGAGAAGTGGGTCCGGAAATAGTTTCTGAATTTAGCAAGTGGGGGCCAGGAGATAGGTGGCATCCCGAGGCTGCGGCCGGGTGGGATGCTGGACCCCTCCCACTGCTGCTTGTCTCCTAGGGTTAGGGTCAGGGTTAGGGTTAGGGTCAGGGTCAGGGTCAGGGTTTAGAGTTAGGGTCAGGGTCAAGGTCAGGGTCAGGGTTAGGGTTAGGGTCAGGCTCAGGGTCAGGGTCAGGGTTAAGGGTTTAGGGTTAGGGTCAGGGTCAGGGTCAGGGTTAGGGTTTAGGGTTAGGGTTAGGTTCAGGGTCAGGGTCAGGGTTAGGGTTTAGGGTTACTGCTTGGACTGCATTTTCAATCAATTTTTTTCAAAAAACAGTTGGGTGTCCTGAGCTCTTACTCATTTACCAACTCTTTCCTTTTCCTCTTAGTGTGAAATGCCACCTAAGTGAGAATATTATCCCCTTTCCTTCAAAAAGCCTAAGGTTATTGTTCTGAAGCCATTGGTAACTTAAGCACTGTGCACTGTTGTGATTCAGGATCCAGATTTAAGCAAATATCTTCACCAAACTACTGTTTTGTTTAAATATTGAAAACCACAAAAGGAGAAGTTATGAATGATACTTAGTCAAAAAGGGAAAGATTCCCTTCAGGGCCCTTCCTTAATTTCCTAGATAAATGTGTTTGGGTAAAGCAAGTTGATTCCTGTTTCTGTCTAATGTCACATGTCACATGTCTTGTTTAAAACCACCCTGCTGCATGGCCTCCAGGAGGCCATGTCATGCTGCTGAGCTGACATCGGGGGCATCGTTAGACCTGAGTTCAGACTCTGGATCTGCCCGTCACAGTCTCTGTGGTCCATGCGGATCGTATAATGTCTGACCTCGGCAGATCACCGATCAGAGTAGCACTCATCATGGGCTGGGGTGATCAGCGAGATGTGTTCACAAGTCCACCTCTGGTTTGTGGTCAGTGYTCATGTTGTGACCATCACATTCCTCGGTCAGAATGCCATTAAGAGGGCCAAGGAGCCTTGTGTCCAGGGCTGGGGATGAAGCTGGGTGAGTGCTGCCCCCATGAGGACCAGAGACCCTGCCTTCTGTGGATGGGAAGCATGGGTCCCCATGACACGCTGTGGGCGCACCTCCATGCTCAGTCTTCCCACCTGTGGATGGGGGTGAATGGAGTTCACAACTCCTAGGCTTTCATGAAGATTGGGTGAGTTTATGCTCTTAAAGTGCCTAGTATGGAGCTTTTGTATTTGTAAGAGCTCAGTAAATGTAAATTATTGTACTCATTTATTATTTTTGTGTGTTCATTGCTCCTGGAGGAGTGAGATCTTGCAATCTCAGAGGCTGTTTTTAAAACACAGAGTCTAACRTGTACACTGACGATGAAGTCGGGCTCTCCAGGAAGTCCTGCTGAGTGGCCAGCCATTCCACATGTGAATATGATGCTGGACACAGGCCCAGGGAAAAGGCTCGGCCTCCTCCCGTGTTGCCGTTTCAGGCCACCCATTCCGCCTCCGGTGACTTAGTTCCAAACGTGTCTTCTGTACAGAGGCCACCGTTGTGGATGTGGTCTCACAGGAGTTTCCTTCTTCCAGGTCAGCCTCCTGAGTGCCTCCCCTGGGGACCGTGTGCAGGATCACAGGTCTCCACTCTTGCCTGAAGCCCCCACTCTGGAAGAGCACCCTAAAACAGAAGCCAAGAGACCGGAGGAGCCCGAGGTTTCCCTGTCCTGGGAAGAGGAGGATGCTGGGGTGGAGAATGTGAAGAGCCACACCTACTCCAAACCACTGCCGGAGCAGCCAAGCTCCCAGCCCCGGGCTGCTGGGCTCGGGGTGCTGCAGGCCTGGGTTCCAGGGGCCCTACAGGAGGAGCAGAGCCCCAGGGCCGGGGCCCGGGCCCCGCCTAGCGAGGGCCTGCAGCTGCAGGTGGAGTCTTCCGAGGACGAGGACTCAGGCTACATCGTGACAGGAAACGAGTGAGTAGGGATCCAGCGTAGCTCCTGTGCCCAGTCCTGGCAGGAGGGCGCGCCTCGTGAAGTGGGGAGACCCTTTTATTTTCAAGTGTCTGAAGTAAAAAGCCTAGTGGAGGTGCCTGCGGAGCGCAGGTGGGGAGGCAGCACGCAGCGTGACCGGGCTCCTGCCTGGAGCTTCTGGACAGGGGCTGGGCTACCAAGTGCGGTGACCAGACCCACCCGCCAGGCCTGGCTGCCCTGTGGCTGTGAGCCAGAGTCACTGGGGCTGTCAGGGTGGCGCCCTGGCCAGGCAGCCCTCCTGGGATGCCCACATGCAGGGCGGGAGTGGTGCCCCAGTGCCGTGGCCATGCAGGCTCCCGCCTGTGACAAGGACCCATCGAGTATTCCCAGCAGCAGGACCACGTCACCTCACAGGGAGGCTGCCTGCCTGCCACGTGTCCTTCTTTGTCTTATGGTGAACTGAAAGTAGTGAGGAGAGCGTGCAGGTGTCCTGCACTGAGTTCTGGGAGCAGCCGGCCCTCTCCGGCCTCCTCCTTAGGGAGCCCCACCTTTGACCCTTGCTCTACCTGGCGCCGTCTCCAGTACTGGAAGCCATGTACTGCACACATGTGTCTGTGCTTTGGGTGTGTGTATACATGTGTAATTGTGTGTATGAGAGTGTGTGTGCATTCATGTGCGTGTATGAGTGCATAGGTAGGTGTAGGTGTGGACATGTGTGCTTGCATGTGAGTGCATGTGTACACAAGCATGTATGTGTGAGGGCATGTGAGGATGTGTATGCTTGTGTGTGAGGATGTGTATGGGTATGTGAGTGTRTGGGTGTGTGAGGGTGTGCGAATGTGGTGTGAGTGCATGTCAGGGTGTGTGGTCACATGCCGAGGTGTTCCTG